TGATAACAGACTGTAAAGTATAATATCAATGTGTATCCCTAGTTCTCTGTATAGTGTTAAAACATACATGTCACGATGATGTTAATCACCAGTGTGTCGTAGACTTTCATCAAACACCTCACTCATTATAATACAGTAACATTGTATGCAATCAGTTGATTCAATTGCTTATCACTTGAGGTTCCATCCCCCTGTCTTTGTAGCCCAGATAAAGTTTCTCTCTGCTGGAGAGTAGACACCATGCATGCTGTCTTCTCCCCTGCTCAATAGCTTTGTTTACCTTTATATGTAAATGGACCTTCATTGTCTCTGGCTGATGACCAGGCTGGTCAGAGAGGCAAACGCACATTCCTGTTTACCAACTCCCTGTGACATGCCTGGTTTAAATACATTTTAGTCATATTTGCATCATATATCCATAACTCTTAATCACGCAAGAATATTAATGATCAGTGAGTTATTAGTTTTTCAATGACTTATTGCATGACACCTTTCGGATACAGATTATAACCACACTGCATTGGGTACACTCCATTGGTCAAGCCAGCTGAAACTCATTACCTGATACCACAGGCACTGATTTTTCTTTTTGCCAGTGGGTTCTTTCCACCTTCCAGTTTCACTGTGCACCATAGATGTGCTCCTGCCATTTACTGGTGGCTCGTGGGTACTGAGCACGCCCTATTTTTTTCTTCGGTGGGTGCTTGAGCCCTGGAGCACCCACAGAGTCAGCAGCTATGCCTGGTACCAGCGAGTCCCTTTCTCTCTGATACTGGGCTGCTTTAGGGTCACACAGTTCAAGGCTTGGAGGCTCTGAATACCTTGAAAGCAGGCATGTGGAATAGCTAGGAAGTCTCACTCAGACCCAGCCAGAACACCTACAACATAATGATATCACCCAAATGATGCTCTAGCTAGCTGAGGCTTGGACAAGCACAGGATCAGATGTTTAATTTGCTATGGATTCCAGAAAGAGGTGGTTTTATTTTTTTAACTTGACAGAGAACAGAGGAGTTAAGTTGGACTATGAAGGAGAAGAAGAATCTAGAGTGGGGGAACCTGAATAGTTAAAGAACGTAAAAAGTCACAGGGGAGCACTAGCTAGGGTTAAGAAAAGCAAAGAAGAAAGTGTGATGAACTAAGTAGCCTACAATTTTTTTGTAATGTTTTTATGGGATGTTAGTGCTGCTGTAAGAAACGCTGGAGACACCTGTCCTCTATTTATGCTCAGAACAGACAGCAACAATGCAGGTTTCTCCACCAATGAGCCATAATCCTGACTTGGAGGGATTGGGTAAGAGGGGGAATTTAGTAACCAGGGCCTGTTCAGCCCTTGGTCTCTCTGCTGAGACTGTCAATGAAGGGGAACAATTAATGCCAGCTGTGGTGGTTGGGCCTGAGCTAGAAAATTCAGATCCGGATCCAAGCTCTGGGTGTTTGAGTTTGGGATTTTGACTCAAGTATATCCCTACAAACAAAAAAACTAACTGAGCATTGGCCCTGGCAAGCTTCCACACAGCTCCTGTGTCAGTGTGCCACAGCCCTGACCTGGAGGAACCTGATGGATCATGAACCCAAGAAAGTAAAATCAAATAAAGGTCCATTTCATATCACATGTTAATGTCAGTATATCCGCTGATTTGGGTTTTGAGTGACTCATGTTTGTGAGATGTGTGGGCAGCGCTTCTCAGCTTTCTCTTTGCTATGGTGACACTTCTTTCCATGTGACACTTCGGAAGTCTCTAAGGATGCCACATCCCTGACACCAACAGCCAAGAAAAGGGTATAAGAGCTGCTACAGTAGCTCTCTGCCACTCAGGGTTCCCCTAATGCTGAGGTTAAACCTTCCATAGCCACGTAAACTGGTTGCAGAGCAGCACAAAGCTGCCTTTGTGCTGTGGAGAACATAAGCTTTTCTGGCCCTACAGAAACTACACCTGATCTTGCTCCCAATTAAGTGAGTGCAAGTTATGCTGTTTCCCTCAATGAGGGCAGGATTAAGCCCTAAAGCCTTTGCAAAATTACCTGCTGCTATTTGACTGAGCCCAGACATCTGCCAATTTGGAAAGTGAGAAACTCTTCTCACCAGGAACATTTTTAATTACAATTGGCATTTTGGATCTTCTTGCTAATTAAATTTTTAAAAGGAACATATGTGTGACCCTACAAATACAGGAACCTGTTATGCAAGAATCTGAAGTAATTTCCATTCTGCTTTAAATCAGGTCTAGCAATGAGAAAATGAATGTTACGGTGAGTGTACTGAGGTGAGGGAGGGTTCCCTTTTGCACCAGCACAGGAGGCTGGCACGGGGGGAGTTATATGCTGTGCCCTGTGCCAGGCAAATTCTTTCCATCACCGCTGCAGAGAGTTGGGCAAATTGGAAAAATCACAGAGGGGGCCCCACGACTCTATTTAAAAGGAAAGGGAGTAATTCTATTGCTGTAATAAGCTAGTGGGTGGGAAAGCTCTGCCAGGCTCTTTCAGCACTATTTCAGATAATCTCCTGCTTCCCACGTCTCCAGCCTTAACAGCTGTAAGAAAACTGGGCTCCAAACACTGGATTTATGGGACAAAATTATACTTTGGTACATGGGAGAATCCTGGATGTGGACAGGCTGGTCAGGAAATGGAATGACGATTTATAATACATGGACAGCACTGTTATGGCCCTGCATAAAACATACCAGCCACTGGTGTAATGTCAGCCAGGCCTCCTAACTCACGGGGAACGCATTACCAATAGCTCTGAGCACAATGTAAAGTGCTCCTACTCATCCCTAGGGATGCATTAACCCTGAAGCCTACTGCTGACAATTTAAATGGCGACCTTGTTAGCTGTTGCACGGCTGATCCGAGCAGAGGCACAAGAAGGAGGAACCTGATTATGAAGAGCGGTGCACTAGGCTGCAAGCCGTGGTGCCGGGGGGGGCAGGGGCTTGGAGAACATCCCCACCCCCACGTACCCTCTTCCACCCTGGCTACCCCACGCAGCCATTTGCTGTGTCACGGCACGTCGGTAACGCGACGTGGGATCCGTTGCACCGTCAGATGCTACCGAGGAGCGGGGGTGGGCCCTGAGGCTCCCGAGAAGGGGCATCCCTTGAACTGCAGAGCCTGGGGTGGGCCCCGCTCCTGGGCCAGGGGGGTTGCCCCCCCCCCCGGGCAGTGCACCGCCCCAGGGGCTGCTGATGGTCTCTCCCCCACGCCCCGAGTCCTGCCCGAGCGCGGCGGCGACAGCCGGAAGTGCAGAGACGAGGGGAGCAGGCTGACCGGAAGTTCAGGGGAAGGCGGCACTAGTGACCGGAAGTGCCGCTCCGGGGGGCAGGTTCGAGTGTTACGCCGCGGGCGGAGGGAACGGTTGTAGCGGAAGCGCGCCGCAGGGGGCAGGGAGAGGGGTGGCACAGGGGTCGCCGGAAGCGGAAGTAGCCCGGGCGGGAGAACGGACGGGGCAGGATTCGAAAGGGGTTTCTGAGGCAGACTCGGGGGCGGCAGCCGGTGAGATGCGGGTGGCTGGTCCCGTCGCTCCAGCCCGGGCCCGCTGGGTATCGCCGTGAAGCGGGGTGTCTGCCCGGGGGCGGCGGCGGCGGCCTTGGGAGGCGGTGCCAAGCGGCCGGCCCGGCCCAGTGACCTTGAGGCGATGGGCGGCGAGGCCCCGCCCTGCCCCGGAGGCCCGTGGAAAGCGGCCGGGAGAAGGCTGGGGGTGGGGCTGAGGAGAAGGAGGAGCGGCCTGAACTGGGCCCCTCAGGCGGTGCCGTGACCTGCGTGCGGGGCGGGCTCCCAGCGCTGCCCGGCCTGGGTTCGGGGCGGGGTTCCTGGCGAACCCGGGCTCGGGGGCTCGCTGCCCCTTTTTCCGCGCTAAGTCGGGGAGGGGGGGGAGAGAGATCCATGCCGTGCCGTGCCCCGCCCCACCCCACCTAGCGAGTTCGTGGGTCTCATTTCTGATAGACACGTGACCACACCCACCAGCGCTGACTCGAAATCACCAAGGGGGCCATGGAGCGCGAGCTCTTCTCCCACCCCCGGGAGCCGCCCATGGGGAGCCCTTTGCGGCCGCTGCCAATGGTGCATCGGTTCTTGAGGGAGGTGATGGTTGAGGGCTGTAGAAAACCACCTATCAGCGATGATCTAGGTATACATGGCTCAGCTTCACTATAGGGGGCTTGACCAGATGACCTCTAGGGGTCCCGTCCAAGCCTATGTTCCTATGGTTCTATCCCAGAAGACTACAGGGGCAGCGTGAAACTGACTCATGACTTTTTACTCTACAGAAACAACCTGCCACCAATCACTTTTGAGGCTGGAATCTTGTTCTTTGCTGCCAGGGGTCGGGGCACGGGGGCTTGTCCCACTCCACCCGCCTGGTACTCCAGCCAAAGAGTGGTGTTGGGGCGCCGAGGCTTGCTCCACTCCGCCCACCTGGCACTCCTGCCGGGGCAAGCCCCCACACCCCGGCTGGAGTGCCGGTGGGGCGGATGGAGTGGGACAAGCCCCTACATCCCGACCCCAGTCCCAGGCTGGAGCGCCGGGCGGAGTGGGTAGGGCCTGGGAGTGCCCATTTTTCTGGGGCCCAGGTTGGCCCAGTGGCTAATCTACCACTGGGAGGAGAGCGAGCAGGCGCCCAGCGGCGGTAAAAAACTTTAAAAAAGGTAGGCCCCCACCCCAGGGGAGCCGGCCCCTGCATGGGGCGGTGGGACCTGGAAGGGAGCCAGGAGCCATGCACGCTTGAGAGCAGCATCTCCTCCCGGAGCTGGGTGAGTGCCTGGAGAGCCCCTGGCCAGAGGGTCCATCCATCACCCACCACAAGGCCAGCTGCAGGGGTTGGAGGGAGGCGGGCCCTCCCACCCCCAATTGCCCACTCACCTGAAGTTGGGGCCCACTCAAAAATCCCATGCTGGCTACACCACTGGCTCAGGGGAGGGGTGGGGGAAGAGGTGGTGTGGGGCCTTGGGGGAAGGGGTGGAGTGGGGGCTCAGCAAGGGGTTTGGGGGATCCTTACGTTGCTAAAGTTTGAGAACTGCTGAGACTATGGGGTAATTAATGGACATCTTCCAGGTGTGTTCTGCTGGGAGTTTGTTCCTTGAGCTTTAGAAAAAATAACACTATGAACACTTAACATACAGAAATGATTGGCTATTGTGAAATAAAAGAAAAAGTAACTGAAACTTGAAATAATGAGTTAATTACTTAGAAAGTTTGTCCTAATGTGGCAACACTCATGTTTTAAACAGATTAATAATAATTATCAAGTATTTAAATTTTCTTATACAACTTCAGTGTTTCTGTATATTGATAGTTTATATATGGGATAGATGGGATGGGAAGGGTTCCTACCAATATTACAATTAGTAATTGGATTGGTGAATTGGCAGATTTTGGAATTTTTATCTGAGATACTTGAGTCTGGATATTGTAACTTTACGGGGTTGCTAAAAAGGGAGATTGGAAGAAGTTCTTAAAACAGTGTATCAATGAATTGTTGATGAGTATTATAAGGACTTTCAGTTATAAATTTTCATAAGAGAAAACTGACTCAGTAAATAACTTAGTGACTCTTAAATTGAGGGTTAAATCTAGACTCTCGTACTTGTTACCAGCAATAGAAAAGGCTGCACTTGTGCAGTTTGCTATTAGACATTTAACTTTATCATTCCAATATATATCTGAATAATATTAATCAAAATTTGGATGGCAAGTAGAAATAGGAGGCTCCCTGTAACCCAGACTTAGGTGGGGCTTTGGACACACCCCTCTCATCAGTCTCTCCCATTTACTAGCATAGGCAGCTCTCTCCCCATTCATTGTAAAGGGAGCAAAGGCACCTAATCCAGGATTTGTGGATTTCAGTTATTTTCTTCATGCCTCAAAGGTAGGCATTGCAATGCTTAAGACCCTTTGTTTGTCTGGGCCCTAAGCACTTAGGGGCCTTAGTCTCACTGAAAACCAATAGAACTGAGAAACAGAAGTCCCAGAAGCCCTTATGAAAATTTTACCCCAGATCTGGGGCTGGCTTTTATGTTGGTGGGATCCCTGAAACCCTGACCTGAGGTTTAATAGACTTGACACCTGTTACACTTGGAATGAGGTTTAAAAAAACAATCCAAGTAATTAATGAAACTGATGAGTAAAATGAGGATGAAATTATCCTCTTCCCTCTTTTTCACAGTTACTGTGGGTAAATTCATCAGACTGCTTTTGTTAGTTTTAAAAATAAACCTTGATTAGACAAATGCACCAGCTTCAAACATCTGTCTCCCTCAATCTCAAAAAGAGCTTATCGCCCATATACACTTTCTTGTAATAGGTAGATCTTTCTGAAAACTACTGCCCTGGCTATATTTGAAGAACATTTTAATTAAGTAAAATTATTGATATTTTTGTGGGTAGTTTTGAGCCCAGACAAGTTCTTATTGACATCAATATTTGTGTGGGTTTTCTTTTTTTTGCCATTGACTGTAGTTGGTGGCATTATATATGTGTATGAATGTGTGTGCCTATATTGGCTGGCTTCTGCATAGAAAGAACATAAGGCTTCGTTAACAGGAAAAGAAAAGAAATCTTCCGTTAGCTCAAATTGTAGAGATGTTGGTTTTGGGGCTCCAGGACTAAGCACCCTGATATTAGCATCTTTTGAGTGGTACAATAGAGGACCTTATCTTATGATGAGTATCTCTGAAGGATCGCAGGAGAGAATGTGCTTTTGTGACAACTACCTGCATGCTGAGGCTTCAAAGTTGTCAGGATTTATTTTGCAACACAAATAAACAGGGCTATTTGCAAGCTTTCCTTATAGTTATCCCTTTTGCCTTAGGAGCAAGCTTGTTGTTTTAGGTATAGTATATTTTAAAGATGTTTGTAGGATAGAGTAATTGAATGATTTTCTCCAACTCCGTAAGTGTGAAGACAAGACTCTTATTCCTAATTCCTTGCTTAGTGTCCTATCCACTGGTCCTTGCTAAGGGTGTGGAGTCGGGTCGGGGGGTATCTGTATGTTCCATTCCTCCAGTGTCGCTTATAATACAAGTCAAGCTGTTATGGTCTACTAATTACTATGCTTTCTGTCAGTACTGTGTATGCATGAAAGGAGTAGAAATATCTTTCTACTGTTTTTTATGGCTGCCTTTGTATTGCTGTGCGTGTCTGATTTATCGCTGTCTGTTTTGCCATGGGTTTATTTCTGTAGTCTCTTCTAAAATGGCAGAGCTCAAATTTCACTAATATGTGTATGTCACACTGGATAAGGCTATTTCTGTCCTTTTCAGGGCCTTAAAATGGGGAATACAAGCAGTGAGCGAGCTGGTATGGAGCGTCATGGGGGCCATAAGACGCCCCGAAGAGACAATTCTGGTGGAGCCATTAGTACAAAAGAAGGTGATAGACCAAAAATCTTGATGGATAGTCCTGAAGATGCAGACTTGTTCCATTCTGAGGAAATAAAGGTATCATAAGTTATGGCGGTTCCTTCCGTCATAACCCGACACTGGCACCTTGTAGCTTAGACATTCTATCAAGCTGTATTTTTGGAAGTGATATTAGTGATATTTTAGCCAATTTTCTGTATAAACTCAGTTTTAGAAACTTGAAGCATTGCTGACTTTCTCTCTCTTTTTTAAGGGAAGAAAACCTTATTTCTTCTTCTAACCTTTTAGCAGATTTCTGTGAATGAAATACTACATTTTTAACAAAAATTGTAGGAAAACTAAGAAATTGGCTCTAAGCCCTTGCCCAATGTTGTATATTAATACACCACTTTCCTTTGCTATATCTTTTAAGCTCCTTTTATGCTTTTTTAATCACCATACTCAGTAACATTCCAGATGATGATTCTTTCCATTTTAAAAGTTCTGTCAGAGTTCCCTATTTAGTATTAATTTCTAATAGTCCTAATTTTGGTCTGTCCCCATTGTTGGGTGGAATAAGAATGTTTAGCTCACGGTCTTCCAACTTAATTCATCATATTGCGTTAAGCTGTACCCTGCAGATAGCAATAACCTTCCTGTGGTCCAGTTGCAAGTTCTCTATGGAAGGCATTTTGCAGGGTCTAACAAATGCCTTATACAAGAAATTCCTTTTTAATTATTTTTTACCCCTCAGTTTAAATATATGCAGCTACTTTGTGTGCTTCTCCCCCTCAATGATAGTTACTTCTCTGGTTTAATTGTTTTGCATTCTGTTTTAATATCATCTGCCAATTTGGAAGGCTACTAATCTTTCAACTTATGGGTTATTTAAAAATCTTTACAAGCTGGCTTGCAAACTGTTGAGATACCAACTTCTGTCTCTGATATAACAGTGGCTACCTGCATTTGTTTCTAATTTATGGGAATGTTGAAGAACACACACAGGGGTGAGGATACCTTTAGTCAAATGTTACCTTTCTCTAAGCTTACCTCTCCTTTCACAGGGCAAAGGAGCCAACGTAGAACTTCTGTTGAGTAAAGTTTTGTGCTTCTAGGCTCCACGAGAGAGAGAGGAATTTCTAGCTTGGCAGCAAGATCTGGAAGTGAGTGAAAAAGTCCCTGTTCAAAATCGGCCAACAGTCTTTCGCTGGACTGCAGGAGGGAAAGAGGTTTATCTGTCAGGTTCCTTCAACAACTGGAGTAAACTTCCTCTTACAAGAAGGTAACAAACTTGTTACATTGCATCACTGGCATTCTATCTAAAGTTGGAAGCAATTAGGGTCATGTTATTGTTACACTTAGATTATTGCATACCTCTGTTAGCTTTGAGAGCTCTTAAGAGGAGAAATCTTAGTGTATCATGCTAACTGTCAGTATTTGAATGGTGGGACACTCTGACTGCCGGAGGTGAAAATTGTCCCATGGAAGTAGTTATTTGCTTGGCACTGTGGAAAAGACACACCACAGTCCCTGCCATGTAGGGTTTACTGCCTAAAGGTAGATGTAGAAGATTGGACACACTGGGAAATCCACAAGTGTTTTTAGCTACATTGCCCCAAAGTGTTTTTTAGGGACTTTAATAAAGAGGGTGTTGGCTTGGTGGGTTTGAGAAGGGCATTCCATGCATAAGCAGCGTGGGAGAAATTATGGAGACAGGAGTAGGGAAAAGGGGACCAATGGAGCATCAATACTAGGATAATTTTCAGACTGGACAGATTGAGTGGGGAATGTAGTGGGAAGCAAGGCCAAAGACACATGCCAGGATGGAATTATAAGGGGCTTTGGAGGGGCAAACGAGAAGCTTAAACATGGTGCAGTGCTTCAAGGGGAGGCAGTGGAAGGATTCAAAGAACTGGATGCCAGCGTCAGATCAATAGACGAGGGAGGTAGTTTTGGCATGGTGGTCTGTAGAGTTTGTCTAGTCTCAGATTTCTCATCTGACAACTTAGACCTCTCCTAGCAAAAGTACAAAGAAATAATAACCGGGGGTGGGGGAGAAAAGTAGGTTTGTCTCCTTCAGATGTAATGTTTAGAAAAGAGAGACATCTGTCCCCCTTTAATTTGCAATTGGCCGTCACTATAGTGAATCAAGTAAACTCTCTTACAAAGTCCCTTTCAAATAGACACACGTTCCAAACTCAAACAGCAAAAACTGCCTCTCTGGACACTTTCCTCTGCAGACTTTGCCCCCATCCCTGGGAAGAAGTGAGGAATGGAGGACTGTTAGTGTTGCATGACTTCTCTCTGAGCTACTGTGAAGACCTCAAAACAGGCAGGAAGCTCGTAGCACAGGAATGACAATCTGATCAAACTGCGTCTACTCAGAGCAGTTTTTCTGGCAGTTACTGCTTTCATTTTCGCAGTTCTTGTTTATTTGACGGGCGAGATTTGTGATGGAAGGTACTGAAAAGCAAGTTCACTCCAATATATCCTTATCTTGTATGTGAAGCTCTGGCTGATGGGCCAAAACTAGTGTGCTGTCACGTTGTATTGAGTAACAAAGATGCAAGAAGAATGCTTTTCAAAAACACAACATTAACCCTTTGACACCAGGAGCCTGGATTTTCTGGTGATCAGTGTTAATGTAAAACATGTGCAGTTGTGCATGTGAAGAGATGGGACTCAGCTGTCACTGAGGAGGTACTCATTAGCGTTAGCTTGTTTCTGTACATTTAGATTATTGCATTGGATTGCCTCACATGCTGTCTTAAAAGGGTCATTACCTTCAGGAATTTTCTGAAAGATTCTGTTTGAGATCTTTGCATTCTTTCTTATAATAATTGTAGCGAGTCTGTAGATGGACAGATTTTTCAGAATAAAAGGTTAATTGTTCGTGTATTTTTCTGAAATCACAGCCACAATAACTTTGTAGCAATCCTGGATCTTCCAGAAGGAGAGCACCAGTACAAGTTCTATGTGGATGGTCAGTGGACGCATGATCCTTCGGAGGTAACATTTTTATGTGATCCTGCAGGTTTACAAGATGATTCATGCACATGAATGGGAGAAATGAGTTGGCTTCCACGCTAACCTAAAGGAAAGGGCCTTTGCTAACACTAGCAATTGGTTGTTTGATCGGGTGAAATGTTCCCGGCCCCAGCTGGCCTAGGTAACTGAGTCTAGTAGTGCTGTCTGTCTGTTAAATAACCAGAGGCTAAACAAGAAGTAGGTGATGAGGACTGTGGGACATTGGTTTTTCAAGTCTGTAGAATATTAATAACCCTGCATACCTTCTGAATTGTGACTTTTTGCCTCTGCTTCTTCCTAGCCAGTAGTAACCAGCCAGCTTGGTACAGTTAACAACATCATTCAGGTGAAGAAAACTGACTTTGAAGTATTTGATGCTTTAATGGTGGACTCCCAAAAATGCTCAGATATGTCTGGTATGAATCCATTTGTAATCTTATACCACGTGCTTGAAGTTACGTAAATACCCTCTACATTTAATTCCTGGTCTTAAATCCCCAAAGTAGAAGAATCTTACTTTTTATACCCGATCTGTTGGGGATATGTGCAGGGATCATGAAATGTAAAAGGAGAGAAGCTGGAATGAGTGAGGAGATTGTAGTAGAATACAGGTCACTGATCAAACCCCATCTAGATCAGTAGTAAGTGGTTGCTATTTGAATGCGTGACATGAAATGGTGATTTCAGATTTCCCTGGTGAATCAGTAGCTACCTCAAAACTGATACTGAGGTTGACTGCCTTGACAGCAGTTTGAAGGTCATGGAGACTGACCTGCCTCTGATCCCTTTTTTCAGGATTGTTGTGTACTTGTGGGGAATGCCATGGCAGCGTTCTGGGTACCTGGAAGATTCTATTTGCGAGCTTGGCCCCTTTCGTATACACTAAATAATTTCAGTAATATTTTGTCACCAAGAAGGGGATTTTATTCCACTGTTTGCCAGGACTGCCAAAAACTATCATAAAAGCAAATAATCTGAGGTAGCACTTAGTACTGAATGTGTGCTGCAGAAATACTGGGCAAGGAAATCCCCTTCCCCCCCCCCCCCCAAAAAAAAAAAAATAAAAGCTTCAGGACCAACCCTTGAAGTGCTGACGGCTGACCCTACCTAGCTGGTCTCCAGTAGGCAGACTCTGGAATCTTTAAAATCATCTCTTGGGCTTCTTGCTACAGATCTTTGTGCTTGAACTTCACAAAACTTCCCAAATTCTGAAATGTGGGTTCCCTTTGCGTTCTGTCACCTAGTAGTGTTCCCATATTTGTGTGCTGTTTGAGTAGTATCTTGCTGATGAGCAGACCAGTGTCAAGATTAACCCTGTGTTATGAACAGGAACTAATTTCTGAAATGATGTGACAAAACTTCCTACTGTGCTGTGTAGCTGCAGCTTGCAAGTGCCCTGTCCTGGGTGATGGTTGTATTTTTTAGTTTGTTTCTGGCCCAGCAGGAATTGTGTCCCAGGAAACCAAAGACTTCATCTAGAGTGTACAGGAAGTGTGGCATCTCTGTAATTCCTGGAGGATTGACTTTATAGCGCAATTAGCTTCTGTCATACACATGTTTCTGAATGTGAAATTACTACTGCAGCTTATGTATCTGTGAAGAGTTTATCTTCTTTAAGGTTAAATATTTTAACATCTCCCTAACAGAGCTTTCAAGTTCACCCCCAGGACCCTACCATCAGGATCCCTATGTTTCTAAGCCAGAGGAACGCTTCAAGACTCCACCTATTCTTCCACCACACCTGCTGCAGGTGATCCTGAATAAGGACACTGGCATTTCTGTGAGTAGACAACCTTTTTCTTTGGGTCAGTTATTTGAGAGGTTGGACATGCACTGGAGCTGCTTGTAACAATCCCAAACCTTGGAAGCGTCCCCTAATGAGTGAGATCTTTATTGCCCAAGTCCAAACTGATCCATTTGTAATTATCTTCTTAACTGATCTTTTTTCAAAACTGGAAGAAGAATAGTAACACCGTTTTCCCCACTCATAAATCCTAATCTATACACTGCAAAATTATCAGAACTTCTGAGAACATAGCAAACCTGTAAGAAATGAGAAAAGGCCCATTCCTAGGTGGAGGAAAGGTAACCCCATATATACCCTTGGTCCCCCCTTAAGTGATCTTTGATTATATTGGAATTTTGACGGGGAGCCAATACAAAGATTTGTTGAGTGGTTGCCTGTGAAAGACAATATGCCATAATTTAGTTTTTCCACTCTCTGTCTCCTCCTTTTATATGCTTTTCAGTGTGATCCAGCTCTACTTCCTGAGCCCAATCACGTCATGCTGAACCACCTCTATGCACTTTCTATCAAGGTAAGGGAGTCTTACCTTATCACAACAGTTACATTGAGTTAACCATTACATTGTGATAACTTGTTTTCCATCTTCCCTAGGATGGAGTGATGGTGCTCAGCGCCACTCATCGTTACAAAAAAAAATATGTGACTACATTGCTGTACAAGCCAATATGATTAGACCAGGTATCCTGGGGTGATGAAGTGCCAGAGGGAACAAATTCTTCGTTAAACCAAAACATATGCATGGTCTATGCTATTGTAAACAGACTCTGATTTCATACGGTTTTAAAGACTTCACATTTGTTTCATATTTGCCTTGGTCTCCCAGTCCCATCTGGAAGTTTTCAGACTCAGCCAGGACCAAATAGATGGCTGGTGGTGCTGTCATTTTTTCAGCTCAATAACAATCGCCTGGGATCTACCAGTGAAATCAGGCTGGGAAATATGGGGATAGTGACAGCTCAGATGTCATTCATGAGTGATACAGGCTGTAGAAAATAATATTCTAAGAAGTGCAAGATCCTTGCTGATCGAGTGGCTGTTTTTATCATAAAGCTCAAACATTCAATTATATTACCACTGAGCTCCACAAAGAGCCCATTCCCTGGCTCGACTATATGTGAAAAATGGCATTCTTTCTGTTGCAGCTGTTTTGGGCGAAGCCAGAGATGCTGCCACTACCACACACACTGTTTCTTTTATTTGTTTGTTTAATCAGTAGACGGTTGAGTACGTTTTCCAATGTGAGTGATGCTCTAGCATTGTTTCTCTTATGAGAACTCCAAAATAACTTTTCCCCAGTGGAATTGCTGATAAAGACAATTGTTCTTTATTGCTGGGTTTTGTGTAGACCATATAATGCACCCTGCAATAATCTGTTCTTGTAACAGATTTGTAATTCTCTTGCCGATAAGGACTGATTTAAACTGGGCTGGGTTCCTATAAGGAAATTGACCAATTTAGCATAAGGGCTTTAATTCTTCAGTATCAGCTTTTATCAAATTGATGGTAAGGTGACTCCCAAGTTACTTTAAAAACTGTATAGTAAATGAGATATTGAGGGGAAAAATCATCTGCTGATATAAGCAGCTGCAGCCCCTGTGAAGTGGCACTGCACTCACTTATGTCAAGGGCTGGATTGGCCCTGAATCTATATTTGCATTTGACTCTGCCAACTTAGGTTCGTGTGGTCTCTGCAGCAAGGACTCCCAACAATTTCTATCACTTCGTGCTTTATTTATATTTATGTAAACGGATGTCATTCTCACAAAAGGTGCCAGGTTGCCTTTCTTAGAGACTGATGATCTATTTGATCCCAAAACGAATAAATTCCCCACCAATGTGCCTCAGGCCTGACCTGGAGGGACCAACTTGGGGAATGCATAGTGCCCGTCCATTCCTGGGCACCTGAGTGCCAATAAGAATGACGAGAGTGACCTCAGTCCATGACCTACTATACAGGGGTACATATTACAAAAACCACCATGTAGCTAATCAGATAGTGACTTTGGTGACCACGATTAGATGTGATACAGTCAATGATAAAAGACTACTTTTCAGTTTTCTGAACTGTTCAGTTGTATTGTTACAATATTTTGAGTAGTTCAGGGTACATTGCTATTGGGTTTTCTTTGAAAACATGGAATTCCTGTCACTGTCTGACCTCTTCAGAAACAAGTTAAAATATAAAGCATTTTAAGGAAAAATGGATAATGTGTTTTTGTTTCCTGTCAGCCCCGCTGCCCACGACCATACTGGGTTGGCTGGCGGCATAATGCTTGGCTAGTTGTGCAGTTTCTCTCCCTGGTTAAAGTGGTAGCTACTTTACTTTTATAAAACCCAGTTTCGACACACATCCTCTCACCATACACTGGTACGGAATAATACACTTTAAGAGTGGTGGGGGGGGAGTAAACCAAGCTCTTAATGACCTTTGGCAATTGGAAAACCCAAGGATTTCACTTTTGGAAAACTGACTGCTCTCCACCCCTGTTTTTGGTTTGGTTTCCTTTTGTTTAAGGCTGTCATAACTATAAAGGGAAGGGTAACAGCTCTCTGTGTACAGAGACTCCAAATCCTTTTACCTGTAAAGGGTTAAGAAGCTCGGGTAACCTGGCTGACACCTGACCCCAAGGACCAATAAGGAGACAAGATACTTTCAAATCTTGGGGGGGGAAAGGCTTTTGTGTGTGCTCTTTGTTTTAAGGGTGGTTCGCTCTTGGGACTGAGAGGGACCAGACATCAATCCAGGTTCTCCCCATCTTTCTAAACAAGTCTCTCCTATTTCAAACTAGTAAGTAAAAGACAGGCAAGGCGTCTTAGATTTACTTTGTTTTCTCAACTTGTAAATGTACCTTTTTACCAGAGTGTGTATCTTTGTTTGCTGTACTTTGAACCTAAGACAGAGGGGGGTCCTCTGAGCTCTTTAAGTTTGATTACTCTGTAAAGTTATTCTCCATACTGATTTTACAAAGATGATTTTTACCTTTTTCTTTAATTAAAAGCCTTCTTTTTTAAGAACCAGATTGATTTCTCCTTGTTTTAAGATCCAAGGGGGTTTGGATCTGTATTCACCAGGAGTTGGTGAAAGGAGGGTGGGAGGAAGGAGGGGGGATGGTTAATTTCTCCTTGTTTTAAGATCCAAGGGGGTTTGGATCTGTGTTCACCAGGGAATTGGTAAAAGGTTTCTCAAGGCTTCCCAGGGAGGGAATTCTTGTGATGGTGGCAGCGGACCAAAGCTAAGCTGGTAGATAAGCTTAGAAGTTTTCATGCAGGCCCCTACATTTGAACCCTAAAGTTCAAAGTGGGGATCCAGCCTTGACAAAGGCTGTCACAGTTCAAGCAGCTTGAGCAATCTCCATTGGTTGGCCTCTGTGATGCTGGGTATACTTGACTGCTTGGAAAGGTCGGTTTTCAGTTTGTTACGGTTCATGACAACTGAGGCATGATGAGAGAGAATGTCTGTTCCTGGCACAGCCTGCACATGAATATTTGTGAACAGAGGCCAACAGGAAGTCTGGGCACGGTGAGGGCTCTGAACAGCAAGAAGAAAGCATTAAGTGCCCCAGAACTCCGTATTACCAGCTCCAGCAGTGCAGATTAATTCAGCTGGAATCCCGGCCACAGGGGTGCCTCAAAATATATCCATTGCTTTCACATCGTCTGCCCACAGCAGGGCAATGAAAGCCTGCCTCAAAAGTAAGGAAATTCCCACACCAAAAACTTGATGCTCATGTTGTAAAGACAGCATTAACTTACTTACATTAACGCACTCATGCTTTCTAAAAAAAATAGTACTTTGTCATTTGAAACACCTAAATCCCTTAGTGTGGAAATACTAAATTATTAGGGCTGTCGATCAAGTGTAGTTAACTTAATAGTTAAAATTAATTGCGCTGTTACACAATAGAATACCAATTGAAATTTATTAAATATTTTGGATATTTTTCTACATTTTTAAATACACTGATTTCAATTCCAACACAGATTACAAAGTTTACAGTGCTTGCTTTATATTTTTATTACAAAGATTTGCACTGTAAAAACAATAAATAATATTTTTCAGTTCACCTTATACAAGTACCATAGTGCAATCTCTTAATGGTGAAAGCACAACTTACAAATGTAGATTGTTTGTTACATAACTGCACTCAAAACCAAAACAATGTAAAACTTTAGAGCCTACAAGCCTACTCGGTCCTACTTATGCAGCCAATTGCTAAGAGAAACAAGTTTGTTTACATTTATGGGAGATAATGATGCTTGCTTCTTATTTACAATATATCACCTGAAAGTGAGAACGGGCATTTACATGCCAGATAGGCACCTTCATGTTTCGGCCACCATTCCAGAGGACATGCTTCCATGCTGATGACGCTTGTTAATGTGTTTATTAAATTTGTGACTGAACGCCTAGGGAGAGAATTGTATGTCCTCAGCTCTGTTTTACCCACATTCTGCCATATATTTCATGTTATAGCAGTTTCAGATGATGACCCAGCACATGTTCATTTTAAGAACACTTTCACTGCAGATTTGACAAAATGCAAAGAAGGTACCAACGTGAGATTTCTAAAGATAGCTTCAGCACTTGCCCAAAGATTTAAGAATCGGAAGTGCCTTCCAAAATGGGAGAGGGACAAGGTAGGGAACATGCTTTCAGAAGTCTTAAAAGAGCAACACTGATGTGGAAACTACGGAACCTGAACCACCAAAAAAGAAAATCAGCCTTCTGCTGGTGACATGTGACTCAGATGATGAAAATAAACATGCATCAGTCTGCACTGCTTTGGATCATTATCGAGCAGAATCTGTCATGGCCATGGGTGCACGTTCTCTAGAATGGTGGTTGAAGCATGAAGGTGCATATGAATCTTTAGCGTATCTGGCACATAAATATCTTTTGACACTGGCTACAACAGTCCCATGCAAACGTCTGTTCTCTTTCAGGTGACGTAAACAAGAAGTGGGCAGCATTATCTCCTGCACATGTAAACAGACGTGTTTATCTGAGCTATTGGCTGAACAAGAAGTAGGACTGAGTGGACGTGGAAGTTTTACATGGTTTTGTTTTTGAGTGCAGGTTTTGTTGTTATTTAATTCTACAGTTGTAAACTGAACTTTCATGATAGAGATTGCACTACACTTCTTGCAATGGGGGAATTGAAAAACAAAAGAAATAGTATTTTTTACAGGGCAAATATTTGTAATCAAAAATAAATATAAAGTGAGCACTACGCTTTGTATTCTGTAATTGAAATCAATATATTTGCAAATGTGGAAAATATCCAAAAAGATTTATATAAATGGTTTTCTATTATTAACACCACAACTAATCATGCAATTAATTTTTTTAATTGCACCATTAATTGCAATTTTTTTAATCGCTTGACAGCCCTAACACTTGGCCACCATGTCCCATTTTACTGTTGGCTATAAGCCACTGGGCCTCACTCTTAGCCAGAACCCTCTAGTTATTTATTTAAATGACCACCAGGGACATCTCCAGGGCTTGGCAATACAACAGTTTGCCAATGTTTACTGTACTGTAAAAAAGCTATACTGTAGCAAGTACTGTGATGAAACTAAACATAAATATTAGCTAATAGAGTACACTGACATTGAAGCTGCAGATGGTCAGTTACATGCTCTAAAGTTTGGCAATAGATAACAAATGTGGTAATTAATGTGAGAGTAATCATCTAGATTAGGACATATGTACCAAATGAACTAGCCACATAGCATACTAATTGACACTAGGATGTTGAAGGGGATGGACTAGTTAGTGGGAGATCCAATCAGAGTTGGTTTTAAATCAGAGAAAAAGCAAACCTGTATTAGCAGATTTCTAGAAGTGATTAGTCTCAAATAGTTGTTTGCGCAAGCAGTGAAATTGATACCTAGATGCATGTTTTGAATAAATGAGGGTTAATTCATACTAGAATAAAAAGGAATCCTTGAGGTGATCCAACAGACTTTTTCTGTCACAAAACAGTAAAATAAATTGTTCATGAGTGAGGAAATGGGACACAAAGAGCTGTGAGCGATGGCGTAAGTCATTAGCTTGAGCTAAGCTTCATGTATTTTCCAATTATGTCCACACCTGGATAACTTATTTCACAACTTTCCAGCAGCAGTGCAGTTAGGCACGCAGAGGAAGATGAGCACAAATATTTTTTTTAAGATGGAGGCTGTCAGTCAATAAGTAACATGATGCTGCAGCCACCTTTATATTGGGTTGCAGGCTGGCCCACCATTGGGCTGCAAATCTTTTCTTGCTGGGCTCCAGAAAATCAGCACACCTGGAGAGGTGCTGCCTCATAAAACTTTTCCCCACAGGGGTTGCCAAATACAGCACGAGGCTTTTGCTGTTGGGAACTCTCTCTATTCAGAGTTAAAGCTCAGCTTTCTTTGAGGCCCTACAGGGCAGCGCTCACACTGCTGTGGAAGACAGGGAAGTGTTTGAACTCATTGTGCCAATGGCTGAACTTCGCTTCTGTGGTTGGGGGAAGGACTACTGTCCATGAAAGTGCATGGGCAGCAAGGGTAGAGTGGAAGTATGTGACAGTGGCTCCAAGAGTCAGTCCCGCACCCCCCACAGTGCACAAAGCCTCTGCCTTATGTCCCATGGCGTCCACTAGCAGCCCTGCATGACATGCTGCACGCCCAAACACTCATATACAGGTTACAGAAAATAGGGTCAATCTGCCTTTGAATGTTTCCTGCCAATTTCTAGCCCATGGCCTAAGATTTAATAAAAGTCATGTATAGGTCACAGGCACTAAACAAAAATTCATGGCCCTTGACCTGGCCATGATGTAAATACCCATGATGACAAAATCTCTGTTCCTGAGGCCTCACTGCTCTGGGGGCCCTGCTCCAAGGTCCCCAGGGCTGGCCCTGGGACTGATGCTTGGGCAGTCCCCAGGCTTGCTGCTCCAGCCACGCTGGCTGCTTGGGCACTGCCCGGGGCCACCCGAGCAGCACTAGGTGGAGCTGGATCCAGGGCTGCTCCAGCAGTGGCCGGTGCAGCTAGCCACAGGGCACCCAAGCAGCTGTGGGCGTTATGGAGGTCACAGAACCCACAACCTCAAACAGACTCACAGCCCTAGTTACAGTGGCTTAGCTGTGTTTTGAGGGAGCTTGGGAAACTGGACCACTGCTAAAGCCACAGTGGGCACTAAACAAACATGCAGTACCT